CTTTGTGGAGTATGCCATCATCTGTTATATTGATAAAAACCAATGTGATTCTTTCATGCCAATTTATGCTTCCTTTTAATGATTGTTTACCATTCAAACAGCAAAACACTGTCTTGAATGCCGTCACGGCATCTGAATGGATAGAATTGAATGGATAGTGTGACTATTTATTAGATGTTCCTGCACAGATAAACGTTTCCCAGGGCTGGAGCTCACATTACATCAGGAACATGTGACCAGCATTAGAATTTTTACAGCCTTTTTTAATAGGCCCAGAAAGTTCTCTTTATGCGAGTTCTGTGCTGACAATTTGGAATATCTTAGGTAACTGATGATGGCATTAAAGATAAAGGAAATAAGACTTAAAAAGTAGTTAGCAACTACTTGGCTCTGATTCTTTATGCATGAGAAACTATATTGTGGAACATTAATCAGTGGGTCGTTCCTGCACAAGCGGCTGGGATGGTTGATTTCTGCTTGCAACTGCTGGGCCTAATGAATATCGAAATGAAAGCAAGATTTTCAGATGGCAACTTTAACTAAGGTGGTAGTGGTTAGTGGGGTGAGGTGGCACCGCACACTTGACCACCAGTCAGTTGTGCTGCTGCTTCTTACTAAGAGATAAAAGTTTGGGGTGGCAGCAATGTGCAAATGCATTGGTGGAGCCAATCTGGCACTCCTGCTGGTGTGTTTGCACCATGCTGACCTCACCACTGCCTCTGCCTTCTTGTAAGCAGCAGCTAGGCAATGGGCCAGAGGTCTTCCAGAGAAAAATGTCAAGAGGGAAGGAACCCAAAAAGAGCCCAATGAAGACTAAGTTTGATCAATGGCCACAGAACACTGGCAGGCTGGCGGGGGGGAGGGGGTTTGTAACACTGGAAGGAAGGAGGAATGGAATGGAATTTCCTGCAAAAGGGCGTTGCTGACTGACTGGAACACTCAGCACGAGTACTTCATGCTGCAACATTTTGTTGGCGGTCCAACTTCTAACTTTTAAAATTACTTTTGAAAATGTACCTGTCTTTTGTGCTGAATAGGCATAACAAGCTTAATATTTAGTATGCACTTAAAAGCAAAATCTGCTGCCTTGTGAGCCAGGTCTTTCTTTATGCATCACCTTTTCATTGAAATTCAAATGAAGTTTCACATTATACAGCTGGCAAATTTTCAGCTTGGTTGCCTACCTCGTGCCTGTCAGGGATAGGGAAAAGAGATGGGTGCAATACACTTCAGTCTTGGTGCACTGCCACATGGGGATACATTTTAGACTATACTTTTCATTCATCTGTCAAGAAAATAAAGAGCTGCTTTTTTGCCATGTCCACTTTAAATTCATACCTGAGTGGAAGCAGACTTAGAGCACAGTCGGTACGTACCCAGCAGCTTGGCACTTCTTTCAAATAGCTGCCTTGGTCCTATAATTCTAGCTGTTTGGTTTTTAAATGCTTCTTACAAAGTGTTGTATGCATCCCAGCCCCCCAGCGATAAGAGACTCCAGAAGTGCTAGCACTCATTCAATGGAGTCTGCGGTGTTTTTAGGATACATGGTTTTATCTGCATGTATATACAACCTGAGTATAAGGATGGAAGGGCTCTCACAGCATTAACACTCCAACAGATCTTTCCTTCCCATTAGTTTTCAGAGGAATGGTGCCCCCAAAGCCATAGATGGGATCCTCCTAATAGAGGGTCCTGGTTGTGTGCGGGGCCCCAGGGCTCTCCCCTTACAGGGTTAAATTGCGGGGGTGTAGCTAGATGTCCTGGACATAGCCCTGGGATCATGCCAGGCTGTTTTAGCCAATTGCTGGAGGGTGGTGTGATCCCAGGGACTTTAAAACTGGCAGCGTGGGGACTTCCGGGGAGGTGCCTCCGGTAATGGCGGAATTCCTCTGACCGGGAGGAATCTGCTCTGTGGGAATCTGGGTCTGGCCGCCACGGCGAAGGCGGAGACCCGTTAAAATCACAGGCGGGAGAAGCCTGTGAGCGTGGGATTCGGCGGGCACCTTTTGCGCCTCCCCCACTCGCGGGGAACCCCGGTTTTTGGGGCTCCGGAGCGACCTGGAGTGAGCGGCGCGGTGCATCGAATCGTCTGCTTCTTCCACGGAGCGAAGCTGCATAGCTGTTGCCGGAGAGCGCTGACCTTTTCCTGTGGACAATTTGACTTTAAAGTAATTACCCGTGAGTAGAGCTGAAACGGAAGAATTGGATTTCTAAATGTTTAATTTGGTACCGTAATGGGAAGGTTCAAAACAGGAAGTCCGCCTCCCCCTTTTGTAAATAGACTGAGGCAATGAAGTTGCAAGCTAGAGTCCTGGAAAGCCTTTTGTAAAAGATCAAATTTCCAACAGTAAAGAACATTAAACCCCCTCTTGGAGGCAGGAGAAGAGAGGGGGAAGTTGTGGATTGAGTATGCCTGTGGGAGAGAGTGAAGAGATTTAAAACATCGCCGCTCTGACCCTGGAAACAGGCTGCTAGCAGGACTGACGTCTTTTGGAATGTTCATTGACAGCGTTTAGAACGTTCATTGACAGTTAGTTAAACAAGAGAAATACATTGTTTCTACTGTCTCCGGCTGCTTTAAAAAGGAGTAAAAGTAACTGAAAATTGAAACTAATTTGAAACTAATTTTGGATGGCTTAAAAGAGGATACTATTGACTATTACAAATAGAAACTGTTTCCCCCTAGTGGAAGCCTTTGAAACCGGTTGCTTTACAAGAGCTGGGCTAGGGGAATTTCCAGCTGCAAGTTAAAAACCGTGAGACTCTGGGACTGACCTTGAATCTTTTAAGTGTTATGGTAAATGGAAGAGGAAAAACAGACCAGTCAACTGCTGAGAAAACATTAAGGTCTGGGAGGACTTGGCAACAATCCAGGAGAGGTCCATCATCAAGCCCCCCCTGCTCTTTCTGTTGCTTCCTTTGTACCAGTATATTTAAAACCAAGAGGAATGTCAACAGAAGAGGCTTTAGTGGCTGCATTATATAAGATATATAAGACTCACTGGATCAGCTTAACAGGAAAATGGACACGATAAATGCGAAAGTGGATGTTTCAATTACTAAAATTAACTTAAATACAGAAAGTATAAATAATACCAATACAGAAACCACCCAGAAATTGATACAGAAACCTACTTGGATACGGCAAACTGCGGAGGAAGCCAGGGAAAAAGCTGTTGTTGCTGAATGTAAAGTAACACAACTGGAGAGAAAGAGAAAGAGAGCCCCAGCCCTACAGAGGCAATTTGATGAACATAAGTTGACGCTTGCTATGACTGAACTTAAAGAAAAACAGACGAATTTGAGGATTAGAGTTCACCTTTGGTGGACATGCCCAAGGATTAAGACACTTTGGGAGATGATTCATAATGAAATGAAAAAGGTATTTAAATATACCCTTTTGAAGAAACCAGAGGCCTTTCTCCTGGGCATGGTCGGCCAATTGGTGTTAAAGAAGGATAGAACTCTTTTCACGTATGCAACAGTAGCAGAAAGAATACTCATTGTGAAGTACTGGAAGACACAAGATTTATCTATTCGGGAAGAATGGCAGATGAAGTTGATGGACTATATGGAATTGGCGGAAACGACTGGCAGAAATCCGAGACCAGGGAGAAGAGTCGGTGGAAGAAGAGTGGAAAAAGTTTAAGACTATTTATAGAAATATTGTAAAAATAATGAATGTTAGAAAAATGTTGGAATGAAGTTATATGGCTTTAGTAGAAATGTTATAAGGAATCAAGTATAAATAGATTAATAGAGTATTAAAGGGAAAAATAAGGTTAGAATATGTTAAGATAATTATAGGATAGAAAACAGAGGAAGATGGAAAGGAATTGCTGAAACAATTAATAGAAGTGGAATACAAAAAGGGAGGTGTGAGGAGGTCATGGAAATAAGGGAATGAAAGATAAGATATTGAAATTGTTTTGTGTTTTAAATGGTTTGTGTCTTGTTTTGTTAGTTTTATGTTTTTTGTTTGTTTGTTTGTTTGTGTTTAAACGGTTGGAAAATTAATAAATATTATTTTAAAAAAATAAAAATAAAACTGGCAGCGTGATGCAAGTAGGGGCACTTGCTTCGCGCTGCCGAACACCCGCCCACCCTCCCTAGATTTAGGCAGAGTCGCTTGGCCTTGCTTTGGTTTGGGTCGCCTGTTTTGGAATGGGCTGGGTAGGAATTTTTTCCATTTGGCAGATTGGCTTTAGCCACTTGGCTTTTGCCTACCCCTTAGCAATCGTCACAACTTGTAAGGTGGCGGTTAGGCACTGACTCAGTTGGATTGTGGGGAGGGGGGGTGCGACCATCACCTGCCCTTCCAGGAACTGGGTATTCCATTAAAGGAATCTGGGGGTCCTGGATCTCGTCCGAAGTCCGCTTGAGGGGCTAGGGCCATGCCAGGACCACAGGAACCCCGGGGTGAGCTTTGGTTGGTCCTCATCGACCTTGCTCCCTCGTTTGGTTTACCCCATTGGACTATCACCCAGAGAGGTGGAATCAGTTATAGTCGGGAGTCAATGCCTAAGCCAATACCGCTCATGTGGTTGTATTTCAATAAAGTTGTGGCCAAAATTTGCCCCAAAACTTAAACTAAAATAAGTGTCCGTGTGAAGTTATTTTAGGGGTGGGTCCTGGGGATCCTGGGGCGCAACTTTGGATTCAGTACAGAACAGCTGCCACCATTAACCTAGCAAAGAAACTAGTTCAACCTGTTCAGCAGGTTCCTCTGCTAGAATCTGACCTCACAGATACAGAATCACGGTCGCAGAAAAACATCCCAAAGTCACAGTTTGGGAATAATAATTATTCATGTGGAAATCTCATGCAAAGTAAAACACACAGTTACAAGTATTGTACAACCACATCATTTTGTTCAGTGGTCTTATACTAATTTCTGCAATGTAATATCAAAATATACCCAGAAGTCAGACTAATTAGCAACAGATACCTTTAATTGATCACACTTGTGACAAATATCCTGTTTGGTCACTGTCCAAACTGTCAGCTGTTCATATAAGGTGATGAAATATTCTTTCCAATTAGTGACCCTATTCTAATTAGAGTTCACAGTTGTACAGCACTTCCAAGTGTTCAAAGCATTTCACATGCATTATCTAGCAGTAGTCCTTACAAACAACTTGTAAGATAAGTCAGTATTATTATCTCCCATATTGCAGATGGATGGTAGTGGATAACTCTGGCCTGACAGGGAGTGGTTTGCCTGCAGTGACCTACGAATTCATGCCAGAAGCAAGATTTGAAGAAGGAACTTCTTGATTCACAGGTCGGTTTTCTACTTGCTGCTTCTCATGTGTGTCCCTGAATGGATATCCATGCCTTGGTGCAGATGTCTGCAAGAAGTAAGCCTTATGAGCAGCCTTCATAGAATCACTTGCAAATGTTTTATACGGAAAACTGATATTGGTAATGACAAGTTTGTCAACCCTTCACAGTAAAGGCTAAAATCAGTAATCAGCCATCTTGTCCATTCTGATTTTCCTTTTGACACACCTCCCATTTTCCTCAAGACAGCACATGAGAAATAATTCACACATCTTTCTCTTTGTTTTAAAAACAACAAAATTATAACATCATATTGTGTTCCTGCATTTTTACACTATTTGTTTTATAGTGCATGGGAACCATTAAGAAACCTATTGGTTTATAATGTACTCTCTAAATACATATTTATAGCTAGTTTTATGGTAATGAATATTGCTGACTATAATCATAAAACTAATAAAGGGATAGGTACTGTACATCTGGTAAACCATGATAGCTGTTTACAATGGTTGCATTCAAATAGTCATCCATTGTACACTCTGTGCTCATCCTGTCTTTAGCAACTGAAATGTACTTAGCATTCAGAACTTTCTTTAGGGGGCAGCTAAGTGGCTGTAATCACATATAATACTCCTGTCTTCATAGTATTATAAGTGGCTTAACAACCGTCTGGTATATGAAAATAGACTTCTGTACATTAGTACATGCAACTGCCATGATAAAAGAGGAGAAAGAAATATACCTCTTTAGTCATAGCATTCATATGTGTTTTGGTTCGCATAGCACACCCACATGCTTCCAGGATAATGCATACATGGCTGAGTTAAAGGTGCATAAAAACAATAGACAATCCCACAGAGACCGCAAATGACTTCCATGAAGAATTCACCATTAGAGAAAACCAAGTGCATGAAATCAGATCAGTTTATGCTTTATGGTCACCTTGCGGAAACTCCTTTCAATGGCCTCACGTTGGAACATGCAGAGACATTTGTGTGCTGTCCTTCACGATGCAGATTAGGAGTGTTCACCACTGCAAAATTCCTTCTCCCCCCCCAAAAAAAGTGTATAGCTGATGTGGCAATGTTGTTTGGAAGCCTAGTTTAAGCAGAACTGCTCTTGTTCAGAATGATGGACATGCAAAGTGTGAAGCCTTGAAATCTCTGAATTAGTACCTGGACTGCAGTTTCATACTTCATGGAGAATACCCCATATTATATGAGCAGAGAGGAGAGCTTTGTAAGTGGATGCTGAATATTTTGTGGCTATTTCAAATGCCTTCATCTATCCTCAAATCCTCTGTCAATCAAGAAATTATGTTTGGCAGATATCAGGGACCTCAGGCCATTTGGCTGTTGCGAAATGTTTTCCCTGTTCTACATTTTAAAAAATCAGGTTTAATTATATTTTAAAAATGCAAATGTCTTTTAAGTGTCTTCAGCTCCAGATAACGAAAGCTGCTTCCCCTGTTCACAGCTCTATACTGTGAACCCGTATGAAAGTCATTTTTTAAGCTCAGTGAGACAAAGATTGCAAAGTCTTTGTGGTCATTAGTAGAAAGAATCAGAGTGGTGGACAGGCAGGAACTTAGTAATGCACAGCACAAATTTCAAGTGCGTGATCTTCCAGAATGTCTAGTTCAGCTTTTGTCAACCTGGTGCCTCCATATGTTTTTAATTCATAGCTCAATCAGTCCTATCCAGTATGGCCAATTGACAGGAGGGCACCAGTTTGGGGATTGTTGTCCCAGTAAGAAAAATTTTCAGAGGAACTAGAAAAAAGATTCCCGAGATTCCGAAGAGCTGTTAACATTAATTGATAGAGTTTACTTATATTCCACTTTTCTACAATGAGCTGTGCCCAAAGCAGCTTACAGCAAACATTCCAAGCATCAAAATACAGAGCGTTAGCAATTCAAACATACAAATTACAGGCCAGTAAATTTAAAAAATGTCAAGAATCAACCATTTGGCAAACAGAAGCAAAGTAAGAGTTAATCAACAAGAAAGTTTCTGGAACTTGTATTGCTGCACTCCAAATACAGTTCAGGGATGAGGGGTAGATGACATATGGCTGACATACAGGCTGGATAACATACAGCTGGCTCCCCCGTATCTCATCCAGAGGAGACTGACAGCAGCAAAAGGCAAATGTTGAGGGGGACAAATTGCCATAATGATGATAAGTCTCTTCTCCAGAGATCTGGTAGTACTAACTGCTGGTGCAGGTCTTATTGCTCTTAATGGGCTAGGTGGACCATTGGTACGACTCATTATAAAAAAAAAGTCCCTTCTGCCCCGCCTCCCCTTTTTCTGTCTTTTCCAGAATGGCTGGTGGAAAAATATCATGCTTAACTGTTTGTTAGCTAAGGCTGCATACACACTATACTTTTGAAGGACATTTGAAACACATTCCCCCCCTCAAAGAATTCTGGGCACTGTAGTTGTCAGATGCTGGGAATTGTAACTCTGTGAGGGGTAAGCTACTGTGCCCAGAAATCTCTGAGGGAAAGAAGATGCTTCAAATGTGCTTTAAAGGTATAGCATGTACACAGCCTATGTTTTTCTTACTTTCCCCCCTTTTTTCTACAAACACATTTGCTGCAGGGGCTTCAACCTGTCCCTGCAACTCTTCAGTTTCAGGATACTATCATTTAATTTGATTATATGTCATTATAGGAGCAGCTTAATCCGTTTAAAGATGTTGGGTGGTTCCTGGCCATTACATGAGATTAAAATGGATGACTTTTGAAGGTCCTTCCGATTCTAGACTTCCAAATTTCTTTAAGAAATAAAGTACTAGGGAAAGAAGATGTGAGCGCTACAATTAATTGCACAAATTCCAAGTGCTAGAGCTACTTACAAAAGAGTTTTTGCTCTTTGTGCACCATAATTAGGGCTTCAATTACTTCAAGATTGCGCATTTTTTAATAAAAAGTTCTTTTGCTTCAACACAAAAGGGTTCCATTAATTAATATAATGTATAGACTGCCAACATGTTTGTAAATGAACTATGAACATGCAGCATAAAATTGACCCAAGTAAAATGAAATTCTTGCAAGTTTATATTTCTAGCATTCCCTCCCTCGCTGCACAATGAGCATGTAAGTTTGTCAGGAATCCTCTCTCTTTTTTTGAAGCGTACTCACATCTGTTGGTGATGGGTCATGAAAGAGAAGGTAAACCAGCAGGAAGTCACAAGCCATAAAACAGTGTCATGACATCCTGACCACCTTTCCATACAATGTTCTGGAATCCTGAACAATCAGTTACACATTTCAGTTTCTGTGTTCCAAAGACTGCAATTAAAAAGGGCAACTGTTATGTATTCTGTGGTCTGAGCCCCTGTGTTCTGATTCGATACATGCTATCCAATCACAGAACATTTCAGGATTTGGGCCTCTGCCATTGGCCCTTAAACTCTGAGTCATGATTTGCAGCTTGGAAGTTTAGACGGCCAATCATGTTGGGAGTGGTAGTGGCCCAGGCCTTCAGAAATGTATATAAGCAGTTGCTTTGCCCCTGTTGTCCAATCCTGTTCGTTCAAAAAAGGTTCCTGCTGTTACCACTGTGTCTTGCCTCATGGGAACCCACCTACACTTCAGCAACACTCTGTGCTTTTGAGGCTGTCAGGAATGCATGAGACTAGAGAACAAAAGGAAGTCCCCCTGAGTGAGCAGAGATCCATTCTGATCATGTGCACATGTGATATACACATGTGTGAATTAGCCTCCAGTTTTGGAATTCTGCACTCTGGTGCAGGCAGAGGCAAACTTGGCCCTCCAGATGTTTTGGGACTACAACTCCCACCACCCCTAGCTAACAGGACCAGTGGTCAGGGATGATGGGAATTGTAGTCCCAAAACATCTGGAGGGCCGAGTTTGCCTATGCCTGCTGTGGTGCTACTCTCAAGGAACTTAATTTGGCAGAGGGAAAGAGAGGAGTGGCTATGTGCTGTGAGTGTCAATGCAGGAGAACGGCAAAGTCAAAAAACCCAATTAAATGGGGAGGTGCCATTAGGAATAGTCAGCTGCTGCATTTCTGACGGCAAGTTCCTAGTGATTTTGGATGTGACTAGTTGAAAAGCAGATAGGGTGTGCTGTTAGATTGGGTCCAAATGCTATCTTTAAAAAGTATTACCCTGAAATAGGTATCTACTACAGGCAGTGCATGTAGTCCTCTGATATATTATCCATAGGGAATTCTCTTGACTTACACTGGAAGCTGACAAAGAAATGTTGATTTTACACCATCTGTTTAAAAGCAAGTGAAGACAGCTGTGAGGAAAACAAAAGGTTCAAAGGGAGGAAAGACAGATGGATACAAAAGATACACTTTGGCTGGTACTACATGGTACCTGATGGCATCAATAACTGTTTTCCCCTTGCTTTAAAATTTTCAAAAGTGTTGGGAAACACGGTCTAAATGCTCTTACAAAGGATTAGCACTTTGGAGAACTTAGCAGGATCAGAACTATCAAAGTGGAGCCTTGTAACCCCCTGTGGGCTGTTGTTCGAAGCATATATGAGAGTGAAATTAATACCCATATCAGAGCATATTCAGGCATACACTTTTGAGTAGTGCAGTCAGAAAGGATGTCCAATAACCTGACTTTGATAACTAGCTGGTAGCTCTCCAGCTAATGTTCAGAGAGATCTCCTACCAACCTGCATAAGCTTCTGAAGCACCACAGATGGAAAGCTCAGGCGTTATCTCATTATCCCTCAAAATCTTAACTTCAATGTCATATTTAAATCTCCATTCTCTATAATCATAAGCCAAAGTCTTCTGAAATACATGGCAACTCTTGCCATGCACCCCACTGGAGGTTTAGCTCAGTCTGCAGTTGGACAGTATCTGAGTAGAGCAGAATTCAACTAAACTAATTGGGAAAATATTAGGATTACTAAAATATGTCTGGCCTGCTAAACATATGTGGTGTGTAGAGGAGGTTATTCTGCTGATGGCTAGAGAGGTACTCATAGCTTATAGCAGTGGCACCTTTTCTCGCTCTCTTGATTTTTTAGTCTCTTTCATTTGCTCTGATTTTCAGGGCTTTCCTAAATTGTTTCTTGGTGACCGTGCATCTAATCCCCAAATGACGGTGCCAACTTACAATCAAGCCCTCCAGCGGCAATCTCAGTTCAGTTGGTCCACCAGAGGTTCCACATACAGTCATACCCTGGATCCTGAATGGCTTGTGACTCAAACGTTTTGGATCCTGAACGCCACAAACCCAGAAGTGAGTGTTCCGGTTTGTGAATGTTATTGGAACCCAAACGTCAGATGCGGGTTCCGCGGGTTCCGATTGCATGCAGGAAGCTCCTGCAGCCAGTCAGAAACCAGGCCTTGTCTGTCGAACATTTTCAGAAGTCGAACGGACTTCTAAAACGGATTCTGTTTGACAACCAAGGTACAACTGTACTGCAAAAATGGATTGTGTAAGAAATTAAATCATCTATAATTATGAACCAAAGACTTTTCCAAAGCTACTTAATGATGTCAGGGACTTATAGCTCATAGCTCATACACTTAACCAAGTACTTCTTACAACCTTCTTACAGCCTCTGTTGTCCACACTCCCTGTTCTCTTTCAATGTTGGGTAAAAGCAGCGGCAGAGAGGTGATCAGCATTAGACAATGTTGTTACTGCATGTTCATCATGGAAGACTGACACACACTGCACAGTTCCTCCCCTTCAAAGCCACCATCTGGACACACCTAAGGGCTGTCTCTTCTTCAATGATTGCATCTGCTTGATGTGACACTTCAGGCCTCAGTTGGTGGTTTCTCTCTCTCTCTCTCTGTTCTTCCTATCCCCAAAGCTGGAGAATACAGAGGCCAGTGGCAATTTGAGCAGAAAATAATCTGCCTGCAATAGCATCTCATAAGGATGGAGGAGGATTTGGTGACTTTATTTTCTTTTAGTAAATAAAATATTTGCAGCCCATAGAGAAATAGGGGACTCAGTGATTCCCTAGCAGACAGACATTCACAGCTTAGAACAGCTGCTGAAGAAACTGCTCTTTCCCTTCTGTGTTTCAGAAAGGTAGCAGTAGGAAAATCAGCATTTTCAAGATATCATGTGCTCACTGCTGAAATGACACAGATTTTTCTGTGTGCTTGTAAATACACACAATTTAATAGTGCAAGCTGGCCATTCCGAACCTGGCGCACATCAGATGTTGATGGATTCTAGCTCCCATCAGCCCCAACCAGCATGATGAGTGTTGTAGTCTAAAACATCTGGGGGACACCAGAGTGAGAAAGCCTAGTGTAAGCAATCTTTATTGCACATGTTTATTTGTACATTGTATTTAGTGTAAATCTCTAGTAAACCCAGTGAAAGTACCTCACTATTTGCTTAGTCCAAAAAGTGTATGTATAAGACAAGGGGATGGCAATGATTATCAGTAGCATGTTTTGTATGGAAAACTGCCTCAGTTTCAAGCTATGCATACTCAGTTTCAAACTACGCACACATTCCTTGACATTTCAAATATATTCAGATTATGTTCTTTATGACTTAAGAAGGATGGAACATTCTGCACTTGGAATGTATGCCCAAAATTGTTCTGTGAATCCACATAGGAGAAAGCAGAAAAACAATAGATTAGTGCAGGCACCTGCCTAGGGAAGACAATTTGCCCATTGGCAATAAGGGGTGCATCCTCCTTATTCCCAGGGAGGAGTATTAAGACTGCACTGAAACTCACTAGGTTGAATCCAACAAAACAATTGTGGAAGTGGAATGACTTCTATTCACACAATGGAACATCTTCCCACTCTCTTCCCTCTGTATATAATTTTGTGTGTGAGGTGGAGAGAGGGCAGGAAAGTTCCTGGATTTCTTTGTGAATGATTCTAAAATTCCTTTTGGTTTAACTGATCACAACCTTGTGCATAACACAACTATATCTGCTATCTTTCAAAATATGTCACGGAATAATTTGACCAGTACCCCTTTACTAGAGATCAAGGTTTCAGACTGAAATAACTCTGTTACGGGGTGTGCAGTTTGGGAACAGAGGCATGTTAAGTCTGTGCCACACCTGTTCAATAAAGAATAGATTACATATATTGACAGAGAATTAAGGCAGGAAAGGCTCTCCTTTTCTGGGTCATGAGTTCAAAACCAAACCAGGTCGGTAAATACTGGGTGTTATTACAATCATAAGTCGTTTTCAAACCTATAATTTCCTTCATGAAAAGTTGATGGGTTGGACCTATCTTACAGTTTAGTCTTGTTTCCTTCTCAGAACAGACAGACCTTCCACCCTGCCCACCTGTGATCTAATGTAGAAAAGAATGACTCAATGTAATTGAGCTATAATTTGAAACTTCCCAAAAATGGCTGGGGCAAAATGCCTAAAAGCTTTAAGTAATGCTTGGGGTGGGTGTGTCTGTCCCTGTGTGTGAATGGAATTTTATCACAATATGTGATGTGCCCAATGTGTTTTGACATACACAGTTTCTCTCACGGACAACAAAAACAAATGTAATTTTTTGGGGAGTGTACAGTCTTGATCCTATTGGAACAAGTCACTGCAAGATTTTATTTCTGTTTGCTCTTTGAAAGACTGTATGCTGCCATATGTTGCCTACCTCACTCGTTTGAAATTTTGTACATCTCTCATTTTGACTTGTCAGCCTTTTTAGTTCTAATGCTTCCAACATCTTGATGTTTGTTGTTCTATTTCATACAATCTGTCTTACGAAACAGTTGGAGGCGGCAAGTCAGGTGATGACAGGTCTTAGGTCAAAGGTCAGCAATTATGGGCAAAAAGGCCAACAGCAGAAAGAGGTACAAAGACTCAAGTCACCTCCACAGTTTTTTTTACCTTTCAAATTATTTACGCATCCTAAATGAGAGCTCTTTCCTGGTCTTATTTGGGATGTGTAAATGCATATAATTTGAAAGGTTAAAATACTGTAGATGCAGGCTCATCACATTTTGTTCAGATGCAAAATCTTCTTTTGACAAGAAATACATTTAAATATGAATATTTAGATGAGTATTTAACTGATGTGTGTTTTTAAAAATTTGTTACGTTGATTAATGTAGAAATAGGACAAAACAGGATTTCTACGTGAACACAAACAAAAATAAGAGACTGGAAATAAATTTATTTGGATGATGGTGGACCAACTGGGAAGCATGTTTTCATCGGCCTGATTTACTTCTTAGGTTGCCGGTTGTATAAGATTACTGCGTTGGGGTATATCTTGCCTTCTGT